GTGACTGGTGTGCTGTTGTGATTTCTTGTAAACTGTTCAACAGAGTATTGCATTGTGATTTTGATATATTCAGAATTTCATTTGGGTAGTGTTCTTGCAGTTTTATATACCAAGAAGACAAATGGTAGTGGTGACAACTTAACTTAATGAAGTTATTCTGTGTTCATGACCACAGGTTCAAGATATAGATCTGAAGTATTCCGATTCCACTGAAGCAACGGAAAAGATCCGCGAGGGCTGTTGTCCAGGGACTCCCTACATAGTCTTCACTGTTCCTCCAAGTATATCATTGACTCTAATAAATCCTCAGCCTCAGAGCAGCCATTTCACACATATTGTTAATGTGAGAGATGGTGATACAGTTGCGGAGTTGGCTGATCAACTTATCAGTGCTGACGGACATATCATAGGTAAGAAATCTCTGCTATACTTACATTATTTGCTGTTGTGTCGTATTGCAGTGCCATGCTGTGAATATGACTAGAATATTTTTAATTTTCCATCTTCACACAACGTAATAAATAAATTCAAGGACCAGTATGTTGCGTGTGTTTATGCTGGTTTTTGGTGATGTGTTTCAGACCAAATTGAGCATCGCCAGGTCACTGTTATTCTTGAAAAATCCTTTGATGTATACATTAAAATTTATTTAGTTTGTTGAGTATCAAAAATATAATACTAGTGCTTTTTGAACTTTCAAATCTTGTATCTGCCAAAATAATGGCCACACTTCACTATTTTCTGGAGTGACATTGAGGAAAACTACTTATTTTACCAAGTACATTTCTTTGGTAGCCTGTTTCACTGGTAATAGTTCATCAGTATTAATTGTTTTATTTGCATATATGCACCGCACCAGTTATTTTCATCAGATGTTTAATTTTTTATGATTCAGATCCAAACAGTATTCAATTGTGGCGCTATGAGAATCCTGAACTTGGCCCAAGGAAGATGCCCGTATTCGACAATCTGACACAAGGTCTAATACGCATTGAAGACAGTGCAGTATTCCACACGAATTTTGGAAACAAAGAAATTGAAGTTGCTGTCAGTGGTACAAGGTATTCAGTTGGCTCGCAAGCAGTTTACATTGTTCAATAATAAACAGATTAGAACAGTTATAGTAGTTTTGAGTTCTTGACAAAACCAGAGCTATGGTACGGAGGGTGCGTGTGAGGCTGTCCGTCCACCTTCATTTGGTGCAGTTTTCAAGAATGTGTGAGGCTGAACCTCCATCCCCCTTACATCTTTGTGGCGTGGTGCATGATTAAGCGTAGGAACACATTTGCCTCACCATGCATAAAGGATAACAGAGAGAGCTATTTATTCCTCCTGGTATCATACTCGCCCTTTCGTATAGAATCTTCGTTCAATAGCTGCTGCTTTCAGTGCCATGCCATAAGGCAAACTGTTGTACAGACAAATATTTGCAGCAGATGGCAACAAATCAAAATTGTGTTTATGTAGAAATTAAGAGCAAATTAAATCTGGGTAGTGCCTGTTACCGTGCAGTTCAGAATTTTGTTTCGTCTTGTCTGTTTTCTAAAAAAGGTAAAGATTAAAATATAAAATGCATTATTTTGTATGGGTATGAAACTTGGTCTCTTATATTAAAGAAAGAATGTGTATTAAGGGTGTTTGAGAACAGGATGCTGAGAAAAGTATTTGGACCTAAGAGGGAGGAAGTGACAGGAGGACGGAGAAAATCGCATAAAGAGGAGCTTCGTGTATACTCTGTACCATATATTATTGTGATCACATCGAGGAGATGGATGTGTCATGATCTCACATGGGGGAGATGAGAAATGCACACAAAATTTTGCTTGGAAAGTATGAAGGGAAGATGCCACTCAGAAGACCCAGACCTAGATGGGAATAATATTAAAATGGATCTTAGAGAAAAAGAGTGAGAGGGTGTGGACTGGGTCACCTGATTTTGGACAGGAATTGGTAGTGAACCGCAATGAACGCAGTAATGATCTTTCAGTGGTATAAAAGGTAGCAAAATCGATTAGCTGAACACATTATCAGCTTCTCAAGGAGGATTCAGCTTCATAGTGTTTATCTGATGCAGGAAAGAGAGAGATTTAATAATATACGTAACTGATGACGAAACTAAATTTAATTTATTTTATTGAGTCTGAAGTTGACTGCTGGTACAGTGAAAGTCACAAATATTAGCATATACCCCAACATTTGTGCTTATAAGAACATCGCCCACTTCACCATGTTTTCTGATTTCCTTACGTCTTCTTGTAACATGAGAAAATTCCGTTTTTGGACAAGCAACAGACAATGCATTTATTGTGATTTTGCATACACAGTATTATTGTTCAGACCCTCGAATCATTCATGATGCTTAACATTAGAGCAACCAGAAACTTTGTTTTATGGGCACTAGCATAATAAGGCAATGTGACCATTTAGAATACAGCATTCTTTAAGTACAATACACTGACTACTCACAAGTAGAAGCTAAAAAATATTTCATATAGCTTGTTTTTGATGAAATGTACTGACTGACAATTAGCAATATCTTGGAATGTTTTGTGCTGTATGTTGGCAGCAGTTTCTCCTACATACTAACAAAGAATGCACATTGCCATTGAAGTGAAAACTAGCTAATGCGAACAGTATTCTGCTTGGAAAATTTAGGTACATAAATAGTTTTCCTGAGTACTAAGCAAGTGATGAGCAACTCTAATGCGGATATGACTAGTATGTATGTATAGTGCATCAAACCATGCAAAGAGTTTCATACATATGTTACTGACGTATCTTAAATAAATTGTATTGTAGCTTTAAAATATGAGAGAAACTGTCACCATTGATTCATTCCTGTCTTCACATGGGAATTCTTACTCAGCTCCTCCGTCATCTGCCCCCTTCTCTTCTTCGTCCCCAAGTTCAGATTTATTCTCATCAGCCTTGGCCTCGCTGCTGTCACCTTCAAACACTGGACCTGGAGTACTCTCCTCCCCCTCTAAAACAATTTCTTCAGGATCTGGAGCACGTGGAAGAAATTCACTGTCTTGGTACATCTTGCTAAATATTTCTTTTGCCTGAAAGGAGGGAGGAGGGGGAAAACAGTATAAAATCACTTTACATATTAAGTAGGATCTCAGGTTATGAAGATGGCTGTCTCTTGGGTTGTAGTGTCGTAAAGTGTTTTAGAACTTTGCTAACATTTCAGAGGCCCTTGCTGCCTCCATCAGTCTTGATGATGTACATGGTGCTATAACCTAGAAGACAGTCATCTTCACTTTACATATCGCTTTATCTTCTTCCCAACAAGTTAAGTGAAGATTACGTATTAATGTAGGTGACAAGTTTTAAATTTGATTGCTACTCATTAGCTCCTCTGTACACTTTACCTGTTTTACTGCATGTTCAAAGTCTAAATCCACATCTGGTCCAGAGCAGAGGAAAACATTAGTTGGCACATTGGCAGTAAGGTCACAGTCTGATGTCTCAGGGCAATTGAAGAAGAGTGACCAGAGAACTTGGGGTTTCAGGTCACTTCCCGGGTCAGACTTTCCTTTGTCCTCAGTTTCATTCCCCTCTTGTCCTTCGCTGTCCTGACATAGAAATAATACAATTCCCATCATTTAACCCTACATATTTTAGATTTGCTGCTAGACTTCATTTTCTCTCTGAACTGGAATCATTTGTATCTACATGCACTGTATTTAACAAGCAGGTGTCAAATTCTGAGATTTCTCCCATTTTGGTCAGTTAAAGTCTCACCATCAACGTAACTTGGAATGGAGATATTGTAACAACATAAAGATGTCAGGATATGAAACTCATCAATTGGTGTGAAGTGTCTTCATACAATTTTCAAGACATACAATCAGGGCGCCAGTAAACTTTTTCTTTTTCTGGTGCCTTGTTCAAACATATTTTCTCTGTGGCTGGCAGTTTCACAATGAAATGCCTTTCATAGTGGATTTGTGGAGGATTTGCTTGCAGCTACTGCCTGAGTGTGAACTAATGCCAGTCACCTATAAAGATTAGTGTGTCCATGGTGATGGATGTAAACAGTGTCAGTGTAATGATGGTGAACAGGAAGAGGAAAGTACAGCAACATAGTCTGCAGATAAGAATAACTCGTCATCTTCAGACATTCTCGGTATAAAGATGTTAGACCAAGTTTGGTGACATCACACAAGGGAGGGAAGGAGTGCCATGAATGCATGCACCCAATGAAGGATGTGAGGGACATGTAACTTGCTGCCATTTCAGTAGGAGTACATAAGTGACATGGCATCTGAAGTTGATAACCTGATGTCTTCCTTCTTTAATTCCTTCATTCACATTAAGTGCCTGGAGATAAACTAAACTGTGCTGCCTCATCTTGTTGTATATGAATACCTCAGAATGTGTCTTGTTGGGCGACGCAGTTTGAGTCGACTGGGTGTCAGTGTTGGTGCGGATCATGGCACCATCTGAGAATTCAGTATGTAGAAGTTTCTGTACCACAGTCTGCAGGTCCTCTCTGGCCGTGATCTTCTGCTTGCAAGTCATGTGCACCACATCTGCAACAAACAGCTCTTTTATGTCACATGGAATCTTCAGTATTTAAGGAATATTTATTAGTCAGAGAATGTTCATATTTTACTTACACATCCCAGGAGGACAAGCATTTGTTGAAGGTCCCACTTCAATTACAGTAACCGGCTCGCCACATCCATCTGCCGAAGGGAACTGCAGTAATGTGAGTGACTCCTTGTCAGCTGGTAGAATGGATCTAGATCAAAAGTAAGAAGAAAGACAATTATGTGCAGTAAGATAGTGATTTCTGAGCTCTCTCTTTCTTTTTCCAGTGTAAATGAGCTATCCCAGCTCCGCAAATCTACACTACCTGTCTGTAATGAAAATTCCACGAGATACGCCACCATTAGGAGCTGTTTGGAGAAACTGTGGAGGAGCATAGCCAACTGCCAACACAAGATGAGATGTGTTAAGTCTTCGTCCTCCAGACACAATTGCATGACAAGTCAAGTTGGAGTCCTCTCCATCACTCACTATCACAGCTTCGGCTGCACGTTTCAGATGATACAGACCTCCAAATACAGCACAGAGTCTGACAAACCAAACACGTAAACATTTCAGGATATAAGATGTATTGGCAAGGATATCACAACAAATGTGACATAGTGAATGAAGCATTGTCTACACATACAGGTATTTATTGACGTAAATACGTCTATACGGAAGGGTCATTCAGCAAAAGAGTAACAAAAATGTGTAAGATCCATATCAACAAATTGACAACAATGGTTAGCTTGCGTGCATTGTTATGTTACCTAGGAAACGTCATCTGTTTACTCGGCATTGTTGTGTTATATTACTGCCATCAACAATCCGCTTTCGTAACAACATGGATGACATTGAAGATAACATTACATTACAGAGACGTACATATAATTTAAATACTGAGACGTATTTACATCAAATTCTCTGGAACCGTGGTTCCACTGTCAATTTTTTTGTTATGATCACTTTACAAAGGTGCGTGTCTGCTACAATTTTCTTTGTGTAAACCTCAGCCATGTTTTGAACATGGTGTATGATGTTTCATGTCTCATAAGATTCATGTTTGTCTGCAGTAGCATGCATCACCATCGTTCAATGACAAAAAGCTCAATACTTCAACTAACTCAGATATTTATGACACTAAACCATGAATAAGCATGCTCAAGTTACTACAAATTAATTTCTCATTTCATACTACGAGGAAGCAACAATGGCTTTGTTTTGCATTCACCCATCATATGCCGTTCTGCCTCTTTATGAAAACTGATGACTTCCAGTTTGCTTTGCAAGTCAGAGGAGAGAACAGGTGCCTAGTTTAATAGAATGTATTACTAAATAAATATTATTATGGAAGGCCAATTTATAATACTAATATGTACAGAAAATCCACAGCCATTAAATCTAAGATAGTCTCCTACCTGCAAAAACACTGGGGTATTTCTCCACTGCCATACATTGGCCATAAGAAAGGTGTGTTCCCATAACGCCCCAAGCTGTTGAGGAACTTCTGGGTACGGGCTACACCCTCCATACAAGGGGTAGTACCAGTGGCCATTGCAATAGCGTACAGTACGTAATGTAAAAGGTTTGGTGTCAGTTTCTTTGATTTCAAGTACTCTAAAAATGGTTTGTCTTCAAAGCCTAGGAATGGAAAAATGAGGCATTAGAAATAAAATGAAATAAAGCTGTCCCACTATACACCATGTAGGCGCTTGGTGGGGAGAGGAGGTATAGCTCCTACTCATTCTTGACCTCTGCACTAGATGCGGGCGAGTGGTCACCATCGCCCATCTTATTTAACAGTTGATCAGTGATAATTTCTGTCCGTTTTAAGTCACCTTTTCCACATCTGGGTCAGTTATTGAACTTGTGAGATTTGAGCCTATCACAGTGGTGGAGATATTGATATTTTCCTGGCTTGTGATGCCATGTGAACTCAAAGGTAGATACCACTGTTTCAGATAAACATACTGTCAGCCCTGAAGATGGAGACAGTATGTTTCTTCTGATATGTTGGTATCTGTGGGTCTGCTTGGCATCACAACCTGGAAGAACAATAGAGACAGAGTTTGATCTTGTCAGATGGCTGGACCTTCTGTCTTGAAATCACTTGGTCCACATGAAAACCTGTTCTACTTGACTGTTTCCTCTCCATAAACTTGAAGTGTTGAACTCATGATTAAAGACAGTTTTGTTCAAAGTTTTCCTACAATTAACAGAAATCTGCGACTAAAGTGAATGGCTACAGGATGAACAATCAGGTTTTGTCTCTGACAAGGGAAGGCATTGATTCTCTTTGCCACAAAGTAAAGTACAACTCTTGAGATCACAGGGGTAAAGCAAGAGGATCATGAAGCTGGACCATCACCTTCATCCAGTTCCATCGTTAAGATTGTGCCCTTGTATGCCATAATATCATACCTTCTGTAACACATGATTACTGCTTTAATATGTGAATCCATAATTCATAAAATGCCTGGACTAACAAACAAATCACAACAAAATCTAAATAAATGAATTAAGAGTATGTACCTTCAAATTCCTTTGAACTGTTTTCATATTCCATGCAAGCAGTCAACAACTTCATAAGCATTCTCTTTTCAACAACTGTGACATGACGAGTAGCAAAAACGTCAGCTCGTGAACATGGAACTGACTCGAGACGACCGTCCAACCAGGTCAGAACTCGAGTCACACTTCGGAACTCAGCATAGCGCGCGATGTTGGAGGAGATAAGCAGCTCAACTAGTGAGCCCCGAGCAAACAGGAGCTGAATGAGACACACAGATCAAAACTGAGGAGATCCTAAGGTTTTATTGTACTCCAAATAAATTATCTACAAGTGACTATCTGTCCATTGTATTGAATTAAGGTCTCTAAGTCAGTATGTACATAAAAGGGCATGGGTTAGTGCCCAGAAAAATGGAGTCAAATATGCTTTTACTCACTACCTACCTTTGGAGAGCCTGTAAGAGCTAAGCAACTAAAATTTTTCATAGCACAGGTTGGTATGTTGCACACACTCCCCACTCCCACTGCTTGCTGTGCCTAGACTCATCTTTTCTCTTTCCATCACAACTGACATTGAAAAGTATTCTTGTATCACTTTGCATTGCATTTGGTTGTTCCAGTTCTTATCACATTTAATTTCTTCCATCTCGTCTCCTTTGGTATGTCAGTTCTCCGTACAGTCCACTTATAACTACTTCGTGTTGAATCAGAAACAAATATAGCCATTCTCCTAGCATACTATTAAGTTCCTTAAAAAAACTCACTTTTGGTGCTAAATCCAAATTAAATTTGCGGTACTCTTTCTTCAGTTTAGCCTGGCTCCACTGCTGTGTAGGGGCATGAGGTACAATATCTTTCCCACACCCAGCTTCACTTTCTTCCTCTTCATGTTTTTCTGTTTCATAATCCTCTTCCTTCTTCGTATTATCTACATCTCCTTTAATTTCACCTCCATCTGTCTGTGTGTTCCTGGAAAATAACAGCCCCTCTTGGTAGTCTGCAAGCTCTCTGAAATTAGGGAATAAGAATAATGAATAGCAACATGTGATGAGGAATTATAAGTGGAGGTAATCTCCACAGATTTTTTAGATCTGGACTAGACAGAAGTGGATGATGAGCTTTACATGCTGTTGATCAAAGGTGCAAGAAATATTTAGGCAATATTTGGTGGACCCAGAGACAGAGATCAACCTAGTCTTTCAGGAATTGAATGCTTGCCATCATTTCTGTGACCATATGGGCAAAAATCATTGAACTTACTCTACAATATACCATTTTTCTTCAATGTTAGATATTGTTGAAAACTGGTTTCCTGCTTTAATTAGCATCTCTCCATCATTTGCTACTGCAGACATGACATTTTCCTCCTGTGGATTTGCGGGATGATGACAATCTTCGATCCATTTCTGTATGCCTTCAAAATTGAATGATGCCCACAGACCTCCATAATATTCATTGCTAAATGCAAAGGAACAGTATCAGTGTGATGGTAAATTAAACAACTCTTAAATTAGGATTTGTGACCTGTTCCAAATCAGAATAATTTCTGAAATGTTCAGTCAACACACATTGACAGGGCTCTTTGGACAAGTAATCAGCCTGTCACAAAGCCTCTGCCTACACAGGGCACCATAACACAGAAATAAAAAGACATGCATGCCTTCAACAGGATTTGAACCTTCAATCCCCTAGAGCGCACGGACACTGGGAACAGTGGGTATAATTGCGGCAAATCAATTCTAAGTCTATGAGAAGTCATACAATTTACCTATCGAGGTGCAAAACTCTTTTGCCTATTCTACTAGCAGCTGCAGCCACAATAGATTCAGTCATCCCTAAACAAAAGAGAGAATTCATTATAATATGCAATGGAAATATTAACCAAACAATATTTTTTCTGTAAACATTAAATGATTGGTACATTTGTAGTTTAAATCCAACAGTGAATTTTCACTACAGTACTGAAAATCATCTTGTATTTTCATGTATCTTATTACCCGTTCCTACGACGATAACGTCGTATTCTGAAGGCAGATCGTCTTCCATATTTTATTTATCTCAAAGTGTAAAAAAATTAGCCAATACAATGTTATCTATTCCCTGTTTTAATTTTTTGACGTTAGCCCATTATTGACCACAAATAGTACCAACATATTGACAGTCGACATGGCCAAAATCAACGGTTGTCAATCGCAAATCAGTACTACCAACTGACGTCAATGTAATATTTCCGTCAGTATTTCCACCTGAAGAAGAGTGCAGAGCCAGCTACCGAAACATAGTAGTATTGTTTTTGAATTTTGAACGATGGAAAAAGACCAGAAAAACAGCAGTGGAAGGGTATATTCATCAGAAAATGCCACACCTGTATTTATTACCGCAGCCCAGGAGCCTTTTTGGGGTTGCATTGTATTCTACGAGGTTGGGGAAGCAATTACATGATCAAGATCGTGAAGCTTGAACTTATAGTGTATGTGCCCGTTCTTTCAACTGTAGTTTAGTTAAATACTTTGGTAAATAACTGATCAGATGTCTCATGTACTGATATGTTTTGTATTTCTGACGAATAAGTCATAGAAAAATGGAAGTGATGGACATTTTAATATTGGTAGTCCTGAATGTTATTTTGTCATTAAGAATGGCGGCTATTGGGTTAGGAGGTTGGGCTGCGGTGCCCACGAACGATGTTGATTCTCGAATACCATGCAGATATGGTCAAAAGTGCTATCAAAAAAATCCTTTACATCACCAAAAGTATAAGCACCCACCAAAGAGAAAATTGGAGGTAAGTTACAGTTATCAATCTAAAATATACGCGGAGGTAGGATGTGGGGTTCTCACGAAGGTGGCTGTCTTCAGGGTTGTATCGTTGTGTAGTCTGGTACAAGTTTAGTAACGTTTCAGAGGCCCTTGCCGCCTCCATCATCAGGGCATCCAGTATTCCTTATGATGACGCTGTGTAACAAAGCATGTGGACTAGCTCGGAGATTTTGGTTACAGCTTGAGATGTGTGATGAGAATCTGAAATTATAGGTGTGAGTGACATTCAAAAATTGAGCCATAAGAGTGTATGTCATTTTTGTGTAGACATAGTTGCATTTCATAGATCCCAGCAAGAAGACAGTTAACAGAAACATAGTCCAAGAATAATATACAGCACAGTAGACCTACCTTAATTGTTAACAGTTGCAAGTATATTTACAAATTTGTGTGTAAAATGACACTGTGCTCAAAATATGTTTTGTCTATGTCATATTGCTATTACAGAGAAACATTGAATGGTTGCTGCAGTGAAGAATCTAGCAGTTTCCTATGTTTTCTATCTTCCTTCACCCATTTTGTACCTGTTTTGGTTACATTAATAGACTTTTGACAGTTCTAAAAGTATTCATTTTAGGCAAATGATCACCACTATTTTAAGTGTGTTTCATTGCAACATGTTTGAATACTTTTCGGTGGAAGACTTAGTTCCCCATTTACTTTATTCTTTGGTTGTTGTTACACAAGAAGGTAGCTGTTTTAATAAAATTGTAAATGGCCAAAACATTTTTTAAGTACATTCTTAAATGTATGATTGTGACTGGTATTCATTGGAGGGAAAATGTAAATTATGTGGTTGTCAGGTTAATTAATTTATATGTGTTTTTTGTCTTCTTTGATGGATTTTTGCTGCCACCATTCAGATGAAATGAAGGTGTATCTTGAATAGCACATAAGTGGAGGATTACCTGACTGGCATGTAGACAGACTGAGCTCCTGGCTGATGTCATGAAATTGCAATTAAACTGTAGACTGACGACTACATTGTTTTATCAGTCTGCTTCTTGTTCAGACCAAAGATGGGATTGTTAAGAAGAAGAAGAAGGAAGTGGCTGCAGCTGACGTACCCATATGCACGGTACCGGTACAGGTTGAGGATGAGTGTAAAGCCCTGAGTGTTTCTAAAGAAGAAGAAGATCTTCCTCCCACACCTGAAAATGAGAAGGAAGCTATCAAGCAGAAATTTCTTGTTGAGATGCCAGAAGATTTTTATTCCTTTTGGTCGTTTTGCCAGTCCCTATCACCAGATAAACCTGAAGGTGTGTTACATCTCTGCTCATTACTCATTAGATGTTGGTTCATTCTAATGTCAATGGTTTGACCTTGGATATGCTTGCTAAGTATATATAAAGATATTAGGATCAGTTCAAATAGGCTGCCTGTCAAACCTGAACAGCTGCAGAGTGCTGTCAGCAAACTGTTAACTCAGATTTTTTTTAATCGGTCTGTTGGACAGCCTCGTCTTGGAAGAATCTATGATATAAAACAACTGTAAATTTTATCATTACATTTTCATCAAAGTTCATCAGGAAATTGCCAGGTTGGGGACCCAACAGAAAATTACCAGTTGTATATCCTTCTGTTCAATCAAACCATTTTCATCATTTTGAGAAATGTTTTGACATTTAAACATCTATGGAAATGGCCACAGGTTGTCCTTTTAGTGCCTGCAATTATTCTGTGACAGTCCTCTTAGCAAAATACATTGAACTGGGTTTATGGATAATGTATTGAAGATTTGTTTTCCAATTTAAGTTATTGTCAATTTATAGGCCCAGAAATTTGGTTGTTTCTTCTCCTTCAATTGTTTTATCCTCAAATCCTGTACCTAGATTAACACAGTTTTTGTTGGTAGTACAAAATTTCATTGTTATTAGATTGTCAGTTTAGGTAAAAATCTTGTTTATGTTTGCAAGATGTTTTGATGCCTTAGTAATCCATTCATTATTTTCAGAGATCATTTTCACTGTTTTGGTGGGGAAACTTGCTTCAGAAATTTAAAGAAGATATTGAGGAAAGTGTTGAATTCTGAATTTACATCATGGCTGTTCAATACCGAGTCCCAGTTTTCATTACTTAGATGTGTTCTTAACAGTGTTTTAATTTATAATTATGTTTTAATATTATAAATAAATCATACAAGAATACAGATTCTGGAAAGGGATTCTGTAGATTTTGATTTTGAATTGAGGCCACTGTAGATATTCATTCTTGAATTTGTTTTATTCTTTGACACATTTCAGAGGCTCTGAAGCATGTTGGCCTTTTGCTTGTAGGCCCATTTGATGTATTGTCAGGAAATCTGAAGAAAGCAAAGAATCGTAAACTGGCCATATATTTAGTACACTGGAGGTATTATTATGACCCTCCAGAATTTCAGGTAAATGAGTTTTTGATTATTCTTTGTGAGCAAAATGGTGCATCAGATTTGCGCGTTTCTCCACCTCCCTCTGTCCGACTATCCTTGAACTTGTTCAGATGGAATTTTATGTTGATAATTCCTAATAAGATTCAACCTAAAATCATTGCTTTGAATTTTTGTGTTTACTTTTTTATAACCATTTTTTTCCTGTCATATGTTTTATTTATTGCAGTTAGAATTCATGACTAAAGCTCTATTATGGGCACATGTGAATGGTATTAAAACTTCCATGCCAACAAAATTGTTGTTGATTTGTGTTTGAATGTGTTCACTATGGATTAAAAATATTTTGTTTAAATATAAATTGAGTACAACCTGTAAAATAACAATGGTCAAAATTAAAATGTAAGTGTTTGAAGGTATATTTATTCTGAACATTGGCAAATAAGGGTTGTAATTTTATCGAATATGTTTATATTACTCCTCCAAACTGAGTATACAGACTAAAGTAATCTCCATTTCTCAAACCTGGGATTTTGCTGTTTTTCGTTAAGCTGCCAGTCCATCGTGGGTTTTTCTTGAAGACATGTTTAGAACTTTTACATCATGTTAGAGACTAAAAAAATGTTACAAAAAAATGTTACAGGACTTGAGATTCGTTGCTGGATCACATATTGTCAGTTTTGAAATTGTCCAATAAAAGCTAGCTTTTAGGATCCCACAATGCAAGAAATACGAATTCACATACAAATTAAGTTTATTAAACCATCTGACAGCATTTCCATGGATAAACAATTAAATAGAAAGTTTTAATTGCCATACTACAGGACTACTAGCTGTACTCTAACTCATGTTAGTGAACATGCAATCAGATGGACTTTGCGTAAGCCACGGGAAGACAAATTCCCCTTAAGGCGTGGCAGTGTGCCTGTTGCTGGTCTCCAGATTTAATTCAGAATTGCGTAAAACTCATTGTGTGGTATTAAAGTTTGTATTATATAATAAACAAAAATAAAATCACCTCTAGTTAATCAGTGTTTTGCCCAGTTTCATGGAAACCCATTAATTGGTACAATAATTATTTGGAGGGAACTACTACTATATGTACAACATACTGTCAAGAAAACCTGATCTTTCAGCAGAATTCTGCAATTAGGGACATCTAACTGTTAAAGTTTTTATACAGATATAGCAGTAGCAATGACCAATTTGAAATGGCACTTGAGCAAAGAATAATAATAAAAATTGCTCACTCTTGTCTGTGAGCATTCAGTTGTTAATGGGAGTATCTTATCATTTCAGACTGTTATCAAGGGTGATGATACTAAGCAGTATCACGTGGGATATTTCCGGGATGACCCCCAGGAGCTGCCTTGTTTTGTGGCCAGCAACGCTGCTGCAGTTGGCTGCACGCTGACTCTGATGGCTGAGAATATTTTTGGGGCTGTTAAGTGAGCTGAATCATTTGTCTGTGCAGTTTTTAGCATTAGTTTTTATGGTGTGGCAGATTTATTGCTTTTGTTCTGCGTAAGTCTGCCACCACGTTCAGTTCGCAGTCAGCTAAATCCAGTTCATACCATAACATTCTGTTTCATTCAGGTTTTATTTGAATCCTATAATAGCGCGGTGTAATGAGACTGCGTTAAAAGGCCCTTTTAATAGTGCAAAGCCTCTTGCCAATATTTGGAGTTTTGTTTTTGAAGCACTACAGCAGATAAGTCTTTGGAATTGCATGTTATTCTGAACCATGTCTGATTCAGCGTGATTTGGGTAAGAATATGGAATGACAGTAACATTTTAAGTTGTGCAATTGGGCCCAGTGTAATTAATATTTTCAGTTAACTTTGACAGTTTGACATTTATCAGAATGAAAGCTGGCTGAAGGAACTGCATGTCCTGTTATTATTTTGAAAGTATAATGATACAGGTTTAAGTGACACACTTTTTTGTATTTATTTCAAGTTGTTACCTACAAGACATGAAGCGGATGTGTGACCCATTTCAAAAGATTAAGGTATCAAAGATTCAAACTGCTCTTCAGTCATGGGCAAAGGATAAAAACTTCCCCTTGGATGTGTCCACTGCAGCAATGAAGGCACGGAACAAGAAAGTAGTGACAAAAACATTTCATAATGCGGGCATGGTTGTCCCATGGAACAAAGAAACTGATTTGGGTTACAGGAAACTAATAGAAACAGATGGTGAGTATTAGAAATTCTTACACGAGTTGTTCTTAGTGGATGGGATTTGTTGCAGTGTAACGAAGGCTTGTCTAAATTATTTTTAAAAATTCTGTTCTTACTTGAAAGAAAACATTTCTGCACTAAAAAGATCAGTTGTTTAATGCTGTGTAAGGAAGTAGTTGTTTTTTATTGTGATAATTACATAAAACCTGCAAATTCACTGGGTCAGATAGAGGGAGAGTAGTTTTGAATGTCAGAGTAGGTGGTACATATAGATACCACTGGGTTTTAAAGGGTTAAGGGATGCAATTCTTTGAGCCAGGCTGTAATTAAATCCAACTTCTTGTTTTAATAATTGGCAATGACGTTTTGGTTTACTGTGTTCTTACTATGTTGACAAGATTGTGAATAGCAAGAAACTTGAATCCTGGGAAACACTTTTTATTTTTTAATTTCTTGTTTCTGACCTTAGTGGATTTCTACTTCAGATAAGAGTCATATGAAACACCTGATTCTGTAAGGGTTGAAAATTGATATCTGTTTCCACTGTGTCTTGGTCATGTTGTGTTTTTGTTCACAGATTAATTCTGTAGTAAAATCTGTTCTCTTAATTGTTCATAAAGTTTCCTTCATCAGTACATATTTGACCCAAAAATGCAGTGTGATTTGTCTCTGTGGCATGTCTGATAATTATATTTTAAAATTGACATTACATTGGTGCATGAGAATGGAAGAATTTGCCTATCAACACACTCTTTTGCTTCCATGTGGTCTCCCATGATCAAGTTATGTGTTTATTAAACCTTTGTTTAATAGGCACAATTATTATACAGTTAAAAGGAATGACATAAATTATGTAAAATATTCATTATTTACACTGACGATGAGAATATTACCAAGGGAAGCAGCACATTCTGTTTGGTTGAACAGTAGCAAAAGCAAGCATAAGAATTCACTTCAGATGATGATGTGCCATTACAAAAGGTACTAAATTTTATTATCCCCCCCCAACATTTTAAATTTCTGATGAAAAGGAAAGTAAAGAAATGTTGTTTTTAAGTTTAAATGGATGTGATATTTTATTGTTAACTTAGCAAATCTGAAGCAAATATTGAGGAATGTGTTGGGGAGCAGCTGCAAAATGGAGCGGGATGCTCACCTGGAGAAATTACAGCCTGTTGTTACTGCTGTCAACATTGCCAATGATGAGTGTGATTTTGGAGCAAGTCTTGAGCTGGGTCTCGACTTATTCTGTTTTGGAGGGGAAATATTCCATCGCACAGCACTGAATCTGCTCAAGACTGCATACAGCCTACTTCAAAGGAATGAATTTGCTGTAATAGCAGAGGTATGCACTAACATTAGTCAAAATGTAGCAGAAAATATTGAGAACTAAAATATAATATCATCTTTCTGGAATCATTTCCGTGGCTTGAACTGGAAGTTTTATGTGGGTGGTCAGATGTGTCTGTGTTCTTGAGAGTAATCCATAATAATATTTGGTGATGACAGCAAATTATAAAATCTCTCATTATGTCGTGTCCATTCTGCAAGGTACATCCGGTCTCTTACGTTTAAATGTTCTCGTCAGCGCTCTGTTCCTAAACACCCTCAATCTGTGAGGCAAAGGCTACTTCATATTCTTAATATATTATTTGACATTTGAAGGTTCCATCAGCTGTTCTAGCCATCACTGTTTATGGAAGCTGTGAATCAGACCCACGTTGTCACTGCCCAAAGCTGCCTCGGAGAATCTTTTGGGTGGTGGCATTGCACGTTATTGTTGCTTGATCAATTTATGTTTTCTATTGTGAGGCTGAACTGTAGTAATTATTGAGACATATCACTTTTATCAACTTCATACAAAATTTTATCGAACATCCTTCTCTCAAGGTTGAGTCCATGTGTAGAAAAATTATTGGGGATCATCATTCTGGGTTTTGATATAATAGGTCAACTACTTATCACGTTTTTTGTATTTGTTACATACTAGAGAAAAAAGGGGAGCACAATGAGACAGTACATGATCTGTTCATAGACTTCAAGAAAACATATGATTCAGTTAGAAGGAAAGTGTTCAGTATTTTCAGTGAGTATAGTAAAGTCCGTATAGGTAAACATTTGTCTGACATCTTTAATATTCAAAATGGTCTAAAACAAGGAGATGCTCCTTTGCCACTGCTTTTCAACTTTGTATACAAAACTATAATTTTTCCTGTAGTTTTGTATGAGTGTGAAACTTAGTCTCTAACACTAAGGGAGGAACGTAGACTGAGGGTGTTTGAGAACAGTGCTGTGAAGAATATTTTGACCTAAGAGGGATGAATTGGAGGCTGGAGAAAGTTGCACTCCTCGCCAAATATAATTAGATGAAGTCAGGGAGGATCAGGTGGGCAGGGCATGTTGCCTGCATGGGAGAGAAGAGGAAAGCAAAACAGGGTTTTGGTGGGCGAATCAGAAGGAAAGAGGCCACTAGGAAGACTGAATGATATTAAAATGGATTTTAGAGAAATAGGATGTGTTGTGGATTGTATTCATCTGGCTCAAGATAGGTACCAGAGGCAGGCTCTCAAGAACACAAAATGTTGGGAACTTCTTGAGCGGCTGAGTGAATTGGTTTCTGAGGAAGGACTCTGCTCCATGGAGTAGGTAAGTTGTGAAGCTGATTGGACTTAGAAAGAGCCAGGAAATTACTTATTAACACTAGAAACATCACAGAAGAAACTTACAATATTTTAGTCTCAAAAATTCAGATATTTATACTTTTTCGTATTTCGTAATGTGTTACTTTGTTATACCATTTCAGGCTCATTTGAAGAACAGACGAAAAGGAACAGCTCTCAGTGTAGTGGATCAGGATGCTTGAAGCTGTTGCTGTGTTTGCTAATAAAGACCCATAATTTATTGGAACTACGCTGATGACCTCTGTTTTGAAGTTATATAAAAAGTGAAGCTGGACTAAGTTAAATTCTTTGCACTTGCTTTTGATGTAAATGTTGCAATTAATATTATGTAATAAGAATACTTATGTGTCATTTGAGTTTTGTCAATAACAAATTCCATGTACCTTTTCATGTTTACAATAAGCATGTCAGGGTAATGTCCTGTTTTAAAAAGGGAATATTAAAGAATTTTGAACCTTGTTCTGCCACCTTCAGGGGGTTAAAATGTATACTTTTGTGATTACAGCCTTTACTTTCAGTTAACACCAGAAGCTGGTTCGTGTACACGTCTGCAGCTGTTATAGAACAATATCCCTGTTTATGCTGACGGTAATACACGTACAGAGGCAGGTATTCATCCAGATTATTTGCTGATAAGTTGACTAGAACTATGAGTTCTATAGCAGTTTCATTGTACAGCAGGTCTTTGCCAGTCAGTTTTCATTGTGTGTCTATTTTAACTACTGTATTAAAGTGGAGTCCCAATTATCTGATATAAACAGGACTGAAGGATGATTGGATAAAAAAAATGTTGGAGAGTGTGGAAGATAGATGAAAAAGTTGAGGGTAAATATCAACTCAGTTTGTGATACAAAGATGGTACAATATGACATCTAAATTTGTGAATGAAAGTGTTTATTTTTTAAAATTAGTAATGGGCATTTACTTATTAGCCTCCTTTCTTTGTGCAAGGTCATGCCAGCACCTGAAAAGTATTTGTAGCAACTGAGTACATAAAATGTAGGGGAGTGTGAATAATTGTGCTGCATGCCGAGTTCCGACATAACACGTCGGATATAACAGAGCGCCAGATAATTGGGACTTGACCGTATTACGCTTATGTATCTGCATTTTTAAAATTTCTTTACAAGTGAAAGAAATCCTTAGCTCCTATACAAAGAAATATACATTTTCTGGGGACCAGGGCTGCACAAGCGTACATGTTTTTCCCATAAGGTGTTGGTCTAGCTAACTGGTGTTTTTAACATGTAACCCCCACTGTTCGCAGTGGATTGCTGTATTAAGGAGAAAGTCAGGTCAAAGGCAAGAATATATGGCTTGATATTCCTCTAGTGGAAAGATGTATGTTAGCATATTATGTCAGAAACTTGGAGGAACAGTGCAATGGCCAAGTTAATTTGTTTCAGTGAAGATGGTACAGGAACAAAGACCATAACGTTGAAAAATGTATCGTGGTTTTGAGTTCTGGTGAAGATGGTTTTTCTGTATATCGAAAACTGATTAGAGACAAATTAACTTAAGATTAAAAACACTTGTTTTACCAAAATTATTCTTTTTTGGAATGCTATCCCCCAAAATTATGTGCTGGGACAAGACTTCCGGTTAAACATTTAAGAAAGAGTATAGTAGAATTGACAGTTTTAACAGAATATGCAAAAGATAAACTAGTGATTCTAAAATACCACTATTATAATACCATTTGAGTTTGCCATCATAACCAGTAATGTTCAAGGTTAGGTTTTAAAAGAACTGGGCATTGATTTAAGAGGTACACGTTTTTGAGGTATGTAAAAGGCTTACATGTACTGGTGCCCACAGGAAAGAAGAAACAAATGTAGTTTGTAAAGGTCTGTGTTGTATTTTAATCATAACAACCACATTTTGTAGGATTTGAGATTTTCTGGGTTATTGCGCCGTGTAGTGGGGTTGAAGTTTACCGACGTTTTGCAGGTTCTTGCTGCCTCTATCATCAGGGCGATGATCGCCATGATGATTGAGCAATCAAAAGGCAGTGTGTTTATAAGTAAAGTGAAGAGATGAGAGTTTGACGCTGGAGTAAGTATTAAGCCCAAAATCGGGTAGAAAATGGAACAGCTGCACAACTAGAAGAGCGTGTTTTGCCAACAAATATTGGCATGTATATACACTCATGCTTCAGGCAATGCAGTGAAGTTGGACGAGCCGTACGTTTTATTTACTGAAATGGGGTAACGATAATGGCACGAATTATTTTATGTCACAAATTAGCAAGAAGCATGCTAGAATATTTAATCCACGTGATAAATGTCGGTGCCATTTTCCTAAATCGTTAAGTTTGGAACATCGATACACCGCATCGTAGCCCTTTCTCAAGCTAATCGATATATCTGGGAATTATAATTTAGACTTCCACCAAAGTCGGTCAATAACCACAATACTTACTGTTGGTATGGGGAGATTATTCAACATTATATTAGTAGGTATTCAATTACGTTTATAATATTAGGTGTGGGTATCTGTCGGTCCCCTTCAAGAATTACACGCATGCCCTGTGCAACATTGTTGTCTCATCAGGGGCGCAGCAGCGTTGAACGTGGGGACGGACGGAAACATTCAGTCCTTATCGAGCTGAGTGCGAAGTAGGGTGTGCGTTAGAAAAAGACCAAGCTAAAAAACAGACTGCTTAATTCCAAGCTTCGGCATAAAGCAAACACATCAAGAAAGGAAGCACCATGCAGCAGCAATTCCTGGAACTAACCGTCATAAGCCCTTTTAGATTTATCAAACTGAATTTTCTTCATAATCTTCGAGCATCTCGAGGAAACGGGATGGGTCTGCACACGTGACTTAAATATTTACAAATTTCCTCCAACTTAAATGAAGGTAAATATCATATACAGAAAGTAATCTGATATGGGGAGAACAGGAAAGTCAGTTTGTCCTGTAATTGTGACGGAAATGTGGTGCTGTTATGTGTCTAAGATGGCGATGTTTTGGTTATAATGGGACCCTTAGAAGTGTGGGTTCAGTGAAATGTTTGAACAGGTAGAACGCATTGAAATGTGACGAACCCGTAGTAATATGTTCCGTAAGATTTGTCTGTTAATGTAACTTTAAGTTCTGCTTTTGTGATAATGAACGTTTCAAAAGCAGCATTTAGATTCAACAAAGTGCTCGGAAAGGGAACATTTTATAGACCGCAACTGACGCAAGAGAAGCTACAGGTGTGAGTTGTTTCTTACGTTTATATCAGTGTAATTCTAATAAGAGAAGGAACCTAATGGAGTTTGTGAGTACGATCTGATGCATAGTTCGTGTGGCGAATATAGGGCGGAAGAGAAATATGGCACTATGGGTTGTTATTAAAGGGCGTGTTCTGTTCCAAGTGTGTCTTATAGGTGTTGAAACCCGGGGTAATCTGCGCAAAAGAAACAGAAAACGTGAAGAAAATCAACACGTGTTTCTTCAAAGAGTCTGAGCTCGGTAAGTGTTTTTCTCAACTCGTATTATTGCCATAATTTTGTTTCTGTTGATTGAAGTGCAGCTGTTTTAAAGCAACAACTGCAGTATCGCCAAATCTTGATCTGTTCGTACTGTTTCATGTTTTTCAGTTACACTTTAAATCAACAAAGCCAAAGAACGAATACCATCTCCCTAAAATTTCACCAACAGTTTGTACCAGACTGAAAGAAGTGGTTTTTTTAGTAGTATAATAATTGATTTGACATTAGTCAATTCATTTACAAGGCAGCTGTGTTTTGCATGAAAATTAATGGCTTTTATTTGTATGTTGCTTCAGAATATGCATTGGCCATGACCTACTTTGAGATATTCTGTAGAGTTTGCTTATTTTCGAAGAAATTTACATGCTGTCGACATGGAATAGTGTTACAAATGATATTACTAAAAATTTCATTGGGAAATATCATTCCTATTGCTTTAAGTTTTAACATCTCTGCCAAGCTTTCAGCATCATCATTTCTTTGGCATAAAATTGCTCTGTCAATGTTTTATGTAACAAAGACGTGCCCTCATAGTTCTCGTTGTTAGTGAACGCGGATTTTGCAGGTTGTTCTTTCATAGAAACGACGTTACTTTCTACAGATGCGTAAGTTTTACTGCCGTATATTACAACCCATAAGCGTCACTTTTTCGGCTGTATCGGGGGTACTCTTCCTTTGAAGTTCTGGGGCCACCCTCACCCATTCTTATTGCCTTGCGTGTCGCCGAATACAAATTTCTCTTTGTTGAAACTTCGTGGTTTTCCTTGTGTTCACCCTCTGCTCGCTTTAGGTGCAGT